AATTCTGTCACCCTGTAGGAATGTTGTAAAGTTCAACTTCGACACCATAGGTATAATGTGCGAGTCACAGTTTGTGGCATGAAGCCAGCACTCAACAAATGCGAGTTATTCTCAGTGTAGCTCCAGGACTAGGAAAGCATCTCAAACAAGGGGCACCAAAGAGAAAGGAGTACAGGGGCATCACCTCAAATCGGGAGATGAAGTCCTTCAGGTTTGGAAAGGTGTCCAAGCAGGTGGGCTCAAATATACGGTGGAGATCAAGGACGTCATAGGCGAGGAAATCCACAAAGGTGATCTGCAGAAGGCCAAGAATGTGTGGGCTGAAATCTCCATAGCATAGGATGTATGACAAGTCTGCAGTGTCCCATCACACACCCCCATTACCTTGTCTCCAACAAACCATGGCCCCTTCCCCAGGAACTGTGAGAAGTGCTGCATCATTGTAGGAATTCCCTCCAAATATTCTGGCTTCAGTTTCTCCTGAGGCAGACAGAACACAGCTGTCACCACTCTCAGATACAAGCTCCCTGCACAGCTGTGGCCTCCACAGGGCTGTGTATGGCCCCAGCTAGCCACAAGCAAGCAGTGATCTTCCCCACAACTGGAACTGGCTTCAGTTGGACACATCAGCATTTATTAGATTCCAAGTGGGTGGCTGGAGGCTTTCTGAGGTGATGGAAGGCAGAAAGGAATGCAACACTGTCCCTGAATCTGTCCCCACTGACCTCCCAACCACCCTCCTCTGGGTCAGCCCCCAGGAGCACCTGAGTACCTGGCAAGCTCTGGACCCAGACACAAGCAGGATCAAGGATGCAAAGAACTAAAGGAGCTCAGGGAAAGAAGTCAAAAATTCCTCCTAGTGGAGCGGCAGAAGAATACAATGGATACTGAGTACTTTCTGGAGAGATGAGATTTTCAGAGGCTGAGTGGAAGGAGGCAGAGGAACAAAGGCCTTCTGACTGCCCCTGAGCTGCCTGTTAGGAAAATGCACTCATCCCTGTGCCTGTCAAGGAGAAGCACTAGGAAAAGAATAGGCCGGAATTCCATAGAGGAGAGTGCTCTTACATACCCATCGTGTACCTCTTTACCACGTAGTGTGAGTCTGCCTATTCCCTGAACAGGCAGACAGCATGAACCAGCGGGGTGAGATGGCCCGTGGCGGAGGTCAGGGGTCAGATGTAAAGGGAATTCTGAACTCATGACTTTATTGTCTAAGAACTGAATTTCTAGCTTGGACTTCCTATGATTGGTGGGGGCCGATTTCGACTTTTTATTTGATATATTTTAATGATATGACGGTCACTCTGCTACAGTACAGGGAACCCCCCGAGGATCAATAGCAACGAGAAGTTCAAATTGTGAACAGGACCAGAGTAGATGGAAATAAAGAAGCCTGGCTCCTGGCCCAGATCAGGGAGGGACTCACAAAGTCAGGACTGTAGCAGACTCTGGCCAGCTGATTGGAGACGTCCATGGCCTGGTTCTCCAAAACGTCGACACGAATCTTCTCCTCTTCTGTCTCCCCACCTGCCAC